AAGAATGTGCCAGGGATTCCATGAGAGCAAAAAAGACTGTGCTAAGGGGGACTTCATGAGTCAAAGACAATGGTGCCAGGGATTCCTTGAGACCAAAGAGGACTATGCTATAGGGGACTCCATGAGACCAAAGAGGATTGTGCCAGAGAGGACTCCACAAGACCAGTGAAGATTGTGCCAGGGAGAAAGTCCATAAAACCAAAGAAGATTGTGCTAGGGGGGACTCCACAAGACCAAGAAGAGTCCTTCACTGCATCCACTTTTATTTTAACGCTTACAACTTAATATATGAAAATGAAAAGTGTATTCACAGTCATCAGTGTTTTCAAGATTCAACAGTAAGGAAGATCTAAGAAAAAAAACCTCCAAAACAAAAAAAAAAAAATATTTAGCAAAGAGACAGTCCAAACCAACAAAGAAACATCCCCATATATTCAGCAAAGAGACATCCCCAAATATTCAGCAAAGGGATAACCCAATCCAACAAACAGATATCCCAATATATTCAGCAAAGAGATATCCCAATCCAGCAACAAGAAAGCCCCATGCAACAAGGAGACAGTCACAAACAGCCCAATCCAACAGAGACAGTCACAATACAGGCCCATATCCGACAACATTGTCGATCAATTAACTATTGTGATGTTTAACGACTTGTATCCAAATCAGTCCACAGTGAGCACTGAGCAGTCCTACAGGCTACATGCAGCACAGATCTTCCACACGGCTGAGCTGCAACTGGCATGGCACCCAAATCAGCATCCAGCCTGCAAGGAGAAGCAGAGTGCATGTGATATCACTCCACCCTCCCCCCCTGCAGCTGGAACAATGTGAGCTGCATCAGCTCATTTCACAGCCACCATGCTTTACCAATTGCTAGTTACTACAGTAGCAACAACTTGTTCTCTTAGCTCCCCCACACACCTGTACATTTGCAGTCTCCCCCCCTATACACACCTATACACACTCAGCCCCCCCACACCTATACATACTCAGCCCCCCTCCACACACCTGTACACACTCAGCTCCCCCCACACCTATACACACTCAGCCCCCCCTCCACACACCTGTACACATTCAGCTCCCCCACACCTGTGCAAACTCAGCCCCCCCTCCACACACCTGTACACACTCAGCCCCCCACACCTTTACGTACTCAGCCCCCCTCCACACACCTGTACACATTCAGTCCCCCCCACACCCTGTGCAAACTCAGCCCTCACACACCTGTACATTTGCAGTCTCCCCCACACCTGTACACACTCAGCTCCCCCACACCTGTACACACTCAGCCCCCCCACACCTATACGTACTCAGCCCCCCCTCCACACACCTGTACACACTCAGCTCCCCCACACCTGTACACACTCAGCCCCCCCACACCTATACGTACTCAGCCCCCCCTCCACACACCTGTACACACACTCAGCTCCCCCCACCTGTGCAAACTCAGCCCCCACACACCTGTACATTTCAGTCTCCCCCACACCTGTACATACTCAGCCCCCCTCCACACACCTGTACACACTCAGCTCCCCCACCCCTGTACACACTCAGCTCCCCACTTCTATACATACTCAGCCCCCCCACACCTATACACACTCAGCTCCCCCCACACCTGTACACACTCAGCTCCCCCACACCTATACACACTCAGCCCCCCCCACACCTGTACACATTCAGCCCCCCCCACCCCCACCTGTACACACTCAGCTCCCCCCACACCTATACATACTCAGCCCCCCCACACCCTGTACACACTCAGCCCCCCACACCTATACACACTCAGCCCCCCCAAACCTATACACACTCAGCTCCCCCACACCTATACATACTCAGCCCCCCTCCACACACCTGTACACACTCAGCCCCCCCCCCACCTATACACACTCAGCCCCCCCCCACACCTGTACACACTCAGCTCCCCCACACCTGTACACACTCAGCTCCCCCACACCTATACACACTCAGCCCCCCCACACCTATACATACTCAGCCCCCCCACACCTGTACACACTCAGCTCCCCCACACCTATACATACTCAGCAGCCCCCCCACACCTGTGCACACTCAGCCCCCATCACACCTGTACACACTCAGCTCCCCCCCACACCCTATACAACTCAGCCCCCCCCACACCTGTACATACTCAGCCCCCCCACACCTATACATACTCAGCCCCCCCACACCTGTGCACACTCAGCTTCCCCACACCTGTACACACTCAGCCCCCCTCACACCTGTGCACACTCAGCTCCCCCATACCTGTACACACTCAGCTCCCCCACACCTGCACACACTCAGCTCCCCCACACCTGTACACACTCAGCCCCCCCACACCTGTACACACTCAGCTCCCTCACACCTATGCACACTCAGCCCCCCCACACCTGTGCACACTCAGCTCCCCCCACACCTACCTATGCACACTCAGCCCACCCACCCCTGTACACACTCAGCTCCCCCACACCTATACATATACTCAGCAGCCCCCCACCACCTATACACACTCAGCCCCCCCACGCCTGTGCACACTCAGCCCCCCCCCACACCTGCACACACTCAGCCCCCCACACACTGCACACACTCAGCCCCCCCACACCTGCACACACTCAGCTCCCCCACACCTGTACAACTCAGCTCCCCCACACCTGTACACACTCAGCTCCCCCACACCTATACTTACTCAGCCCCCCTCACACCTGTACACACTCAGCTCCCCCACACCTGCACACACTCAGCTCCCCCATACCTATACACATACTCACCCCCCCCCCACACCTGTACACAGTCAGCCCCCCCCCCCCCAAACTCAGCCCACACACCTGTAATTCTCAGTCCCCCCTCACACCTGTACACACTCAGCTCCCCCACACATATACATACTCAGCCCCCCCCCCCCACTCCTGTGCACATTCAGCCCCCATCACACCTGTACACACTCAGCCCCCCCACCCCTATACACACACAGCTCTGCCCCCCCATACACAAACAGCCCGCTATGTTCACTTGCACACACAATACTTGTAAAGGGGGTCTTCCTATTCCCAAGTCGCTGAGACAGGAGAGGAGCTCAATGACACAGAGCAGCAGCTGCCAACCCCTCTTCTGTACTGCACCCCGCACCCGCTCCTGCCATCTCCTTGCCTGCCGGGCCCCTGTGGATGCCTGGGCCCCATACATTTGTATCAACCGCCACCCCCCTGGTGGTCCTGTCTACAGTACAAGAGAAACAGGCTTCCTGCAAATGTTTGAGCAGCCCGGGGGCCTGGCTGCCTATGAAGACGGTGAAGCCGCTATAATGAAAGCTAAGTGCCTTTCTATTGTATCTCTATGCCATAGAGACCATTGTCAATGCTCATCTGCTAGGACGGTTAGATAGCGTGTGCATGTGTGTCGTGTGCATGTGTGTCATGTGTGTCGTGTGCATGTGTGTCGTGTGCAAGTGTGTCGTGTGCAAGTGTGTGCATGTGTGTCGTGTGCATGTGTCGTGTGTGCATGTGTGTCGTGTGCAAGTGTGTCGTGTGCAAGTGTGTCGTGTGCATGTGTGTCGTGTGCATGTGTGTCGTGTGCATGTGTGTCGTGTGCGTATTTGTAGTACTCTGTGGGGTTGATATACTAAAGGCAAATAGACTGTGTACTCTACATGTGCAGTTGCACTCATTTTCCCCAGAGCTCAGTGAATGCGGTAAAGAATACCCAATCAGGTGCAAGGAGAATTTAAAAAAAAAAAAAAAAAAACTCATTTTTTTTTACTTGCATACAGGGGCGGACTGACAATTCGAGCACTCTGGCATTGTCCAAGGACCCGGGATCAGTAGGGGGCCCCATAAAATTCCCCTGGTACCTTTTTATAGGCTTTTTTGGGTGTGCTTTGAGTGTGGGCAAGGACACAGGGGCCCCATGATCCCCTATTGCCTGGGGGCCCCATGAGTTGTCAGTTGCCCCTGCTTGCGTATTTACTAAGCTCTGGGAAAATGCAACTGCAAAGTACACAGTCTATTTGCCTTTAGTCAATCCACCACTGTAAGTCTTGTATTGTTTTTCCACTATTGTAAGTCATTTTTATATTCAGCAAATGGACATTAATATACTACAAGTTCTTTTTTCCTTGCTGAACTGCAAAGTAGCCGAAAACGCAAAACAGTGCGCTTTCCCAATCTCAGGAGAGGACATCTTGACAAATTACAATCTTCCTGACCTGTCCAAAGTGCTTTAGTAACAGCGGCCAAGTGCTGATAATAGTCTCCAACTACAGCCCTTGTAGTCCGGGAGAGAGAAGAAAAGCTCTGTAGGCTTTACGGGTTAGAGCGGGACACAACGTTACAGTGAACTCAGCAGCAACGACTTTTGAAAATGACAAATATTGCTTTACAGCCAAAATATTTCCTTTTTTGGCTATTTAACCATTAGCCTATCGGGCACTTATACCCTCTTCCTGCCCAGGCCAATTTCCAACTTTCAGCACTGTCACATGAATGACAATTGCGCGGTCATGCAACACTGTACCCATATGAAATTTTTATCATTTCTTTTTAGACAGATAGAGCTTTATTTTGGTGGTATTTAATCACCACAGGGTTTTTTATTTTTTACTAAACAAACCAAAAACCACTGAAAATTTTGAAAAAAAAATTTTTTTTCTTAGTTTTTGTTATATAAAATTTTGTAAATAAGTAATTTTTTTCTCCTTCACTGATGTGCGCTAATGAGGCTGCACTGATGGACACTGATAGGTGGCACTGATGGGCACTGATGAGGAGGCACTGGTAGGTGGCACTGATGGGCATTGACAGGCATCACTGATGGGCACTGAAAGGCAGCACTCATATAAGGCACTGATAGGTGGCACTGACTGGCACTGATAGGCGGCACTGACTGGCACTGTTAGGTGGCACTGACTGGCACTGTTAGGCGGGTACTGATAGGAAGCACTGACGGGCACTGATAGATGGCACTGATGCACACTGATAGGCGGCACTGACTGGCATTGATAGACGGCACTGATAGGTGGGACTGACTGGCATTGATAGGTGGCACTGATAGGTGACACTGAAAGGCAGCTCAGATGGGCACTGATATGTGGCATTGATGTGCACTGGTAGCCACTGATATGTGGAATTGATGTGCACTGGTAGGCACTGATATGTAGCATTGATGTGGCACTGACAGCTGGCACTGATGGACACTGACAGGTGGCACTGCTGGGGCTACACTGATCATCAGGGCAAACTGATCATCAGTGCCCTGATGATCAGTGTACATGTCCCCTCCGCGGAATGCCGATTACCAGCTCTCCTCTCCTCTGTCAGCGTGACAGCTTGAGAGGAGAGAAATGCCGTTAACCGGTATTTCCCAATTTACATGTGATCAGCTGTGATTGGACACAGCTGATCACATGACCGAGCCAACATCTTCGGCTCTTTCCGTGGTTCAGTGATCCACTGTGTCCGAGGGACACAGAGCACCACCGATCGCCGCTCTGCGCGCTCCCGGAGCCGCACATGCGTGGTTAGAATGGGAGGACGTCATAGGACATCCTCCCAGAACGAGAGAACCGCCTTGCGCCCGTCATTACCTTATATGGTGGGCGGGAGGCGGTGAAAATTTCTCGATACCCACTCACTCTATAGTGACAATGAAAATACACCCTCACCGGCCTCTTTATTAGGTCCACCTGTTCAATTGCTTGGTAACACAAATTGATAATCAGCCAATCACATGGCAGCAACTCAATGCATTTAGGCATCTAGATGTGGTGAAGACGACTTGATGACGTTTGTATTGGGCATCAGAATGGGGAAGAAAGGGGAACTTGGCATGGCTGTTGGTGCCAGACGGGCTGGTCTGAGTATTTCAAAAACTGCTGATCTACTGGGATTTTCACACACAACCATCTGTAGGGAAATTCAGACTCATCAAACCAGGCAACGGTTTTCCAATCTTCTATTGTCCAATTTTGGTGAGCCTGAGCCAATTTTAGCCTCCATTTCCTGTTCTTAGCTGACAGGAGTGGCACCTAGTGTGGTCTTCTGCTGCTGTAGCCCATCTGCTTCAAGGTTCGACGGGTTGTGCGTTCAGAGATGGTGTTCCGCATACCTTGGTTGTAACAAGTGGTTGTTTGAGTTACTGTTGCCTTTTTGTCGTCTCAAACCAGCCTGCCCATTCTGCTCTGAACTGCGACATCAACAAGGTATTTTTGTCCACAAAACTGCTGCTCGCTGAGTATTTTTCTCTTTTTTGGATCATTCTCTGTAAACCCTAGAGATGGTTGTGCGCAGGGGCGGACTGACAACTCATGGGGCCCCCAGGCAATAGGGGATCATGGGGCCCCTGTGTCCTTGCCCAAACTCAAAAAAGTCTATGAAAAAGGTACCAGGGGCATCTCATGGGGCCCCCTACGTTCCCTGGGCCCTCAGGCAGTGCCCAAATTTCCAAATGGTCAGTCCGCCCCTGGTTGTGCGTGAAAATCCCAGTAGATCAGCAGCTTTTTAAAAACTCAGACCAGCCTGTCTGGCACCAACAACCATGCCACCTTCAAAGTCACTTAAATCCCCTTTCTTTCCCATTCTGATGCTCAGTTTGTCTAGATGCCTAAATGCATTGAGTTGCTGCCCTGTGATTGGCTAATTAGCAATTTGTGTTACCAAGCAAGTGAACAGCTGCTGTCACGAGACACATAAGTTCTGAAAATAACTAACTTAATCCTATAATGAGAAGAGAGAGATCTCAAATGTACGCTATATTGCCAAAAGTATTGGTCAGCCTGCCTTTCCACACACATGAACTTTAATGGCCCCCCAGTCTCAGTCCGTAGGGTTCAATATTGAGTTGGCCCCGCCCTTTGCAGCTATAACAGCTTCAACTCTTCTGGGAAGGCCGTCCACAAGGTTTAGGAGGGTGTCTATGGGAAGGTTGGACCATTCTTCCAGAAGCACATTTGTCAGGTCAGGCACTGATGTCGGGGGAGGAGGCCTGGCTCGCAGTCTCCGCTCTAATTCATCCCAAAGGTGTTCTATGGGGTTGAGGTCAGGACTCTGTGCAGGCCAGTCAAGTTCCTCCACCCCAAACTGGCTCCTCCATGTCTTTATGGACCTTGCTTTGCACTGGTGCGCAGTCATGTTGGAACAGGAAGGGGCCATCCCCAAACTCCTCCCACAAAGTTGGGAGCATGAAATTGTCCAAAATGTCTTGGTATGCTGACGCCTTAAGAGTTTACTTCACTGGAACTAGGGGGCCAAGCCCAACCCCTGAAAATCAACCCCACACCATAATCCCCCCTCCACCAAACTTTACACTTGGCACAATGCAGTCAGGCAAGTATCATTCTCCTGGCAACTGCCAAACCCAGACACTTCCATCAGATTGCCAGACAGAGAAGTATGATTGATCGCTCCAGAGAACAGTGGCGACGTGAGTCCAGTGGCGACGTGCTTTACACCACTGAATCTGATTCTTTGCATTGCACTTGGTGATGTAAGGCTTGGATGCAGCTGCTCGGCCATGGAAACCCATTCCATGAAGCTCTCTACGCACTGTTGTTGTGCTCATCTGAAGGCCACACCAAGTTTGGAGGTCTTTAGCTATTGACTCTGCAGACAGTTGGTGACTTCTGCGCACTGTGCGCTTCAGCATGCGCTGACCCCGCTCTGTCATGTGACGTGGCCTACCACTTGGTGGCTGAGTTGCTGTTGTTCCCAGTTGCTTCCTCTTTGTTATAATCCCACTAACAGTTGACGTGGAATATTTAGTAGCCAGGAAATGTCACGGATGGACTTATTGCACAGGTGAGAACCTATCACGGGACCACGCTTGGAGTCACTGAGCTCCTGAGAGCGACCCATTCTTTCACCAATGTTTGTAGAAGCAGTCTGCATGCCTAGGGGATGTGATTGTATACACCTGTGTCCATGGAGGTGATTGGAACACCTAAATCCAATGATTTGGAGGGCTGGCCTAATACTTTTGACAATATAGTGTACATGAGGAAACGTCACTGTGCACTCTCACCCTACGTTCCAGACAGCGATAGTGACATCACCAGAGATCCCTCTCTACGCGTTTCACCATCAATCTGCAACGTCTTCAGGAGACTTATAGATTTTATATCTTTTATTCTTATTCATGTTGAAAATTGGATGGATATGACCTCATTAGAGAGGTGGATGGATATTCTCTCATTAGAGAGTTAAATTAGTTATTTTTAAACTCTGGCTGGGAAAAAGTGATAGCCCAAATTCCATATTTTTTGGATACATAACAAATGCAATCAAAGTAATAAATCTGCACTTTTGTGCCTGAACATTGTAAAAAGAAATGTAATCATCGAGCAGTACGGATAGAGGCGGCGGTGCAACCATTTCGGCAATCAGCAAAGCATTGTCTCGTGAAAACCGCCCTGCCGCGCGGAAGCTTTTGGCGACGGCGAAAGTCAAACGCCAAAATACAGACTTCCTTTGGTCTATTTTCTGCTTTCCCTGACAAAAAAAAAAAGGGAAATAATTATCTATCAATAGCAAAACATTTTTATTTTCTGTTTTTAATCCTCTTTTAATTCTGCTGGATGTGTGACAAGCGTGCATCCAACAACTGCACCACAAAGCTGCGTTCACATGGCTCTGTAATAACTTTTCCCGCTATTGACAGTAAATCAGTTCTTCTTCAATAATGTTCCTCATTGCAGGAGGGCAAGTACTTCGGTGTCACACACAATCCTGCCTGTTTATGCCGATAACTTCAATGAATGAAGCTCTGCTAACGTCAGTGGGTGAATCACGCTGCCTTTACATTTCCCTGGGAGGGATATGATTCAGTCCCGGGAGATTTAAATTTAATGTTCTGTGAAAATTTATTCATAAAGCACATAGCTGTAGGGAAATTATTACAACCAGCAACAATTTCACAGATTTTTTTTCTTCAATGTTCTAAAATATAAAGCTGAACTCTATGAGAAAAAAAAAAAATCAAATGTATTAAATATGATTTGTATTTATATCCTACTGTATATTCAGAGATCACCAAAAATATTACATATGTCTTTACAAAGTAAATAGAATGTTTCACAATTTTATTTATTTTTTTATTCATTCAAAATTATGTTTTTTTTTTCCATTTGTTTGCATGCATTATTATTATTATACAGTATTTATAAAGCACCAATTTTTCGCTCAGCGCTGTACATTACAAATGGGGGACAGAACAATAACAATACAATACAATGCAAAACATGAGGGGATCGAGGGCCCTGCTCTTTTGAGCTTACAATCTAGGAGGGAGGGGATGGTGGTACAGGAGGAGAAAGCTGGGGGATGGAGTGGTAGGAAGAGTGGAGGAGGTCGGCAAGTTAGCGGGGGGGGGGGGGGGGGGGGGGGGGGGGGGGTAAGCTTCCCTGAAGAGGTGGGTTTTCAGGGTGCGCCTAAAGGAGAGGAGAGTAGGTGATAATCTGATGGGTTGGGGCAGGGAGTTCCAGAGGATGGGTGACACCCTGGAGAAGTCCTGGAGGCGGGCATGGGAGGAGGAGACCAGGGAACTAGAGAGAAGGAGGTATTCTGTGGAGCGGAGTGTGCAAGCATAGATAAAACTTCAATAATTTTTTTTGGATACAGTAGGGAAGGATTAAAGCTGAACTCCAGGAAATCAGCCACTATATAAAATGTGCCGGGATGCTATGAGTTAAGTCCAACAAGCTGCGTGCCACCTCCTGGACTTATTTCTTTTATACCCATCTAACAGTTTTATGGAGCTCTGGGAGGATAGCTATTTCTATACTCCAGCTCCATGGGAGGTGAAACGCTGTCTTCTCGCATCCAGCAGCTCTGCCTGCCCCTTCTCTCATCGGTCTCGAACAGGGGCGGACTGACAACTCATGGGGCCCCCGGCAATAAGGGATCATGGGGCCCCTATGTCCTTGCCCAAACTCAAAAAAGCCTATGAAAAAGGTACTAGGGGCATCTCATGGGGCCCCCTACTGACCCCGGGCCCTAGGGCACTGCCCGAGTTTCCGAATGGTCAGTCCGCCCCTGTTCGGGAGCAAAGTGCATTCTTTTTGCCTTTAGTAAATCAGTCCCTGTATGTTTTCATGTGTTACCATGTTTTAAGTGCAGCTTGCTAAGTAATGTGTCAGTGCATCACCTCTCAGAAAGATCATGTTTGAGTTTCTCTCCGGAAGGACGGCTACATCTTTCTTGAGGCATCATACAGAGTCAACATTTGCTTCCTGAGCCGGCTCAGAGAGGACACATCATTCATGTAAATCCTGCTGTGTTCACAAATGTCTGACTCAAATCAGCCACTGCTGAAGCCTCTTAGTATGCCGTCCTCACTATGCACCCATTTTAATCACACATTTCTGCAACACAGCAAACTCCAGACCTAAAGAAGAAACCGAACCAAAAATAACAGGATAAAAATAAATAGGTCCCGGACCCTCGGGCAGTGCCTGAGTTTCCAAATGGTCAGTCCGCCCCTGGTATCGAGCAAGGAGATCTACACATGCTCCGAAACGCGTCACCATTCCACGCTCACGTCACTTCTGGACTATGGTTCCCTGGACGGTTTGCGTTCCAGCATGTGCTCCAGTGGTCCCGGAAGAGCAGCAGCCATCTTTAACATCCTATCTCAAGCTCCCCCTGCGGTTGCTGGCTGGCACAGCGGTTCCTTGCTTAGTGGATAGAGCACCTCAAATGACGGATTACAAAGAGCCTGTTTTACACTGCTACACTGTAAGTGTTTTTAATTACGGTTGAACTTGAAACTTCACTTAGAAGGGCCTTCCTGTCTCATCTTCCTCCATACAGAGTTTGCGTCCACTCCCAGAAGTGCTACTCAGTACCGGAGTTCCAATTCACCATCCACCACTGGCTGCTATTCTTCCACAGCATCTCTCACCGATGCGCCCTGCTACATATTCTACTCATTTTCTCCTCTCTGCTGCCCATTCACAGAAGTCTTTGTATTTTGGGAAAGGGTTCACGTAGTACAATACACTCTTGAACTGGGCAGGGAGTGGCGGGCACAGTGGCTGCATGTGACTCTGCAGCTGAAGGAGCTAAGACTAGAAGGTCAAGCTTTGGAGCTCCCAAAATGTAGTGATAGCTATTCTTCCGGAACTCTATAAAACTGGCAGATGTAAGCTCCAAGTAGCAGGGCCCTCCTAACCCTCTTGTATTGAACTGTATCATTGCTACTGTATATTGTCTCAATTTATATTTTAGAGTGCTGAGAAAACTGTTGGCGCCATATAAAATCCTGTATAATAATAATAATATTGTAAAAAAAACAGATACATCCATGAGGTGGCATGCACCTTATTGGAGTTAACTCATAGTATGCCTGCACATTTGTCTTAATTCCTGGAGTTCAGTTTAAACTCTTCAGTTATTTATTTATGTCTGTGTCACTTTGGGGAGATTTCCCTTCACTACTTGTACTGGAGATGCAACAAGTAGTGAAAGGAATTCTCTACAAGGCTCTAGGGCGGCGGTTCTGAACCTGTGGGTCGTGACCCCTTTGGGGGTCGTACGACCCTTTCAAAGGGGTCGCGCTAAGACCATTGGAAAACACATATTTCCGATGGTCTTAGGAACCGAGACACCGCTCCTCTATCCGTCTCAAGGCGGGTCCACCCACATGCAGATATGCCCACATACGAGTACCCAGCGTGATGACATCATTGCGCCAACCCCATCACATACAACCCATACAAATACAGGTGTATTGACAGGGTTGGCGCCATAATGCACTTATGTGGACCAGTCACACATGTGTAAAGAGCAGCTACTGTGTAGAAAGCAGCTACTGTGTAGAAAGCAGCTACTCTGTTAAAAGCAGCTACTGTGTTGAAAGCAGCAGTATTGGAGGTAAGATATTTCCATTACGATTCATAATAGTAGCAAAATTACAGTTATGAAGTAGCAACAAAAATAATTTTATGGTTGGGGGTCACCACAACATGAGGAACTGTATTAAAGGGTCGCGGCATTAGGAAGGTTGAGAACCACTGCTCTAGGGGGACTCATAGGACTCTTTATGCCCCTAAATAAACAGGACATCTAGGGGTTTTCCACCTCCTTTGGTATTATCAGGCTGTATGTATGACCCAGCTTACACAAATTTACTCTAACACTTATAGACTCAAGTGGATCAGGATGGAATCTCAGGCAAATAACTTTCCCCCATTCTCGACCTTCTCATGTGGATGCAAGGCCTTCTTATGCCCTACCTGTCTCACTTATTACAATTATGGGATACTGTTTGCAAACAATTACCCTTAAGTCATCGCACAACCCAGAGTTCTCTTCTGGCTTTACCTTGCACCAGTTCTCTTGGTGGCTAAATAAAGGCCAATACCATACAGGCCATTTCTTGGATCACAGGGGAATCTACTCTACGGAGTATTTCCGCCAGACACTTAGAATGCGTTATTCAAACTAAACCAGATCCTAAATTATTTTGTGATCTCTTAAATCATCCACAGAGGACATTACCACTAGAATGTTTTATGAAACTTGGTGTTTTAAAAAACTCAGGCCCGTGGGAAGGCATCCCAATGTAATACTGATTTTTCTCCACCCTAACAGATACATTGTCTTACCAAAGGGCATGGGAAATGAACTTGAGGGAGGAGATCCCACCTGAGAATTCATCCAGTTGGACAGCTAAAATTTACTCTGAAATTCTCAACACAATCCTGGTGGAAGAAAATTATAAGGTAGTAGATCGATGGTACCTGGACACCATGGAGAAGTCCTGGAGGTGGGCATGGGAGGAGGAGACCAGGGAACTAGAGAGAAGGAGGTCTTGTGTGGAGCGGAGTGTGCATGCATAGATAAAACTTCAATCATTTTTTTTGGATACAGTAGAGAAGGATTAAAGCTGAACTCCAGGAAA